CTAAGTCTTTTATCCACTTTTGAGTTGATTTTGTGCAAGGTGAAAGAGGAATCTAATTTCATTCTTCTACATATGGAGATCCAGTTTTTCCTGTACCATTTGTTAAAGAGGCTATCTGTTCTCCAATATTAATTTTTGGTACCTTTGTCAAATCAGGTGACTATATCTATATGGATTTTGTCTCTGTAACTTACTCTTTTCTTTTGATCTTAATATCTGTTTTTATGCTAGTTTTGTTACTCTAGCTCTGTAGCATAATTTGAGATCAGGTATTGTGTTGCCATCAGCACTCTTATTGCTCAGTATTGTTTTGGCTCTTTTATTTTTCCATGTGAATTTTAGGACTGGTTTTTCTAGTTATGTAAGAAATATCATTAGTATTTTGATGGGGATTGCATTGAACTTACAAATTGTGTTTGATAATACTAATTCTGCATGCCCAACAGCATGGGAGGTCTTCTTCTATTTCTTTCTTCAGTGTTCTACAGTTTTCACTGTAGGCCTTTCACCTTCTTGGTTAAGTTTTTCCATATATATATATATATATATATTTTTTTTTTTTTCTTTTAACTCTGTGTTTTGTGCACAAGAGATTTTTGAGGTAAAGGAAGATTTTATAGAGGTTGTCATTGCAGACTCAGATCCCTATAACACAGTCACTGGAGTAGATCTTGGGCCACATCATGACTTTGCTCAATTTGTTTCAGTAGTATGGCTTATTAATATTCCCTGAATGTCTTTTGGTTAGCGCGCTGCAGTTGTTGCTTTTTCTCAGCTCTGAATCTTGAGAGATAGCCTCTGTAAGAAAAGAAACACCAGATTAAGAGTTTTGTTAAAAGAGCAAGGTTACATTCAACTTTGAGATTTATCATTTATATAAAATTTAGAATGTCAGTGCTAGACCCCATTCTAAATACTCACATATCCTTGAAATGGCCTTTTGATTTTTGGATGTTCACTCCACATGTTTGTGATCCATGTCACAATGTTTACATTTGTTTATTATAAGGTGGATTGATCTGAAGAGTGACTTCAAAAGACTTAAAAAAAAAAAAACCAGGAGATATTTCACAGGTACAATCCTATGTTTAAGAGATTGGTAACTAGGCTGCACAGATCATTTTGGAATAAGCCTAAACTTGCTAAGGCTTTTGTAAAACTTGTATTCCAGATATTCTGTCCTTTAAAAGGTTGTTTTATTGCACACCATCTTTCCATTGTTCATGAGGAGTTCCATTGTGGTTTATATCTTTAAGATTCTCTATTTTGATAAAAAGCAGAGGCTATAATTCTGTGTTAGAATTCAAACAGGAAATTTATATCAGAAGCAGGGATTCTAATTGTAATTGAGTATCCCAGGAGTCCTCTGACCAGAGGGCCTGGAGCCAACTCACTGCTCTGCTATTGTATCTGAAAGACAGTGGCATTTTTTGAAGGCCTTTTTTTTTTTTTTTTTTTTTTTTTTTTTAACTACCCTCCCTTAATTAGAGCAGCTTCATTACTATCATTCTCATTCTCCTATGTAAATGATGTGCATGTATTAAGGATACAGGTAAGGTTATTATTCTATAAAATTTTCCAGATAATTATGTCCAGCCAAGTATATCCTGTTATTCTAAATTCTTTTAGCTCTTATTGTCCACAAACTAAGTAATTCCATGTTTTTATGAAATTGTCTCTATATTCATTATGCTCGTCTCCTGGATACCCACACATTCAGGTTTTTTTTGAATAGTAGTTAATGATAGTAGTTAATATTTACAAATCATTATATAGATTTGTTGTTTTACTAAAACCTTACCATTAGTACTGCGAGACACTTAATATTAGTAAGGTATATCCTATAAGTGTTCTCTATAGTTTTCTCTAATCATTTGAGAGAAAACCCAGTAAATATTTTAATTCCTACTAAGATAGTAAGTACTAAGTATCTAGATGTATAAGAGAGTGAAAGGACTGGTTCTTGTCAACATCAGGGCTCAGTTTAAAGTTAAGAAGCCTTCTGGTTGTGGTGGTGCACATCTGTAATCCCAGAAATTTGGATAGCTGACGCAGGAGATGGTGAGTTCAAAGCCAACCTCAGCAATTTAGCGAGGCACTTAGAAATCAGTGAGACCCTATTTCTAAATAAAATATTTAAAAAATGGGCTGGGGATGTGGCTCAGTGATTAAATGCTCCTGGGTTCAATCTCGGATATATCCCCCCAAATAAATAAATGTAAAATTAAGAAGCCTGAATAACCTCTTTGAGTTCAGTGTAGGTAAAACATTTTATTTTTCCAGTCTACTTTTAATATTTTAGAAGAATTATTTTATTTGTACTTTTTGGTGTTTGAAATCATGATGATTGGATATACCTTCCCGGGCTTAGTAAAAGTTGGAATGAAGAGATATTAAATTCCAGGGTTGTGATGTTTATCTTTTATGGCTGTTCTCAAACTCTGATATGTAAAGGTGTTTTTATAAGTACAATAGGAAGGCTCAAGTGGGAAAAGCCATTACAAATGCTTATATTGTATCAGTTTTCTTACTGGTTCAAATACAAAGCTGTGGTTCCTGTCTTCTTTACTGAAATATCATCATAGAGAAGAAAAGCATAATTTTTTGTTGTATTGTGGACAGTTTTTCTTTTCCATTAAAATTGTGGAGTATAGTGGCTAGTCTTAAAATCTTTTACCTTAATTAAGATAATGATTTGTTTTGTTAGACTTGTGAGATATTACTTCAAAGTTGTCAACTCTTTTTTGGTGCTGTGCATTTAACTTGGATGAAACAGGGAAGTGTCAGATTGTATGAAATCATTGCTGCTTTTTTCCTTCTTTGGGACAATTGGAATTTAAGAATGTATTTAAGCCTGCATGGTGGTGCATGCCTATAATCTCAGCAGCTCAGGAGGCTGAGACAGGAGGGTCATGAGTTCAAAAGCCAGCTTCAGCAGATGCTAGGTGCTGAGCAACTCAGTGAAACCCTGTCTCTAAATAAAATACAAAATAGGGCTGAGGATGTGACTCAGTGGTTGAATGCCCCTGGATTCAATCCCCCCCCCCCCCCCCCCGCCCCAAAAAATGTACTTAATATTTTGGATTTTAAAATTTTTGGATCTAATCTTTCTGGATGTCTTCATTTTGTATTCAAGATCAAAAGACTGAGTTTGTCTTCAGAAATGCTAAAAGTACAGGAAGAGAAAGGTTTATTTTTTAAATGAGGAAGAAAATGACTTTTAGTAGGATTTATAGCTAACCTGCAAAGTTGTAATTAAGATGAATAAAGGAAAGTTTGGGGGGATAGAAAATGATAATTTAGAGCTCAGTTAGATTAAACTAGGTTTTTAGCAAAGGTTTCTAGGATTCAGACTTGAAGGGAGAATTTGAAAACTTTGAGAACTGCTGTTTGTACTTGCACCGTGATTTGTATGCATTCAAAACACATGTAATAGTGTTGTAAATAAAAGTGGTGCTGACAAGATTTGAGTCACTTCCACAAGTGGTATTAGATTTGTGCTAATTAAATCATACCTTTTGGGGTGTTTTACTTAGGAACTAAAGACAAAAATGCCCAAGACAGCTGACCATGTTATAATATAAACTACCTATAAATCACTTGGTTATCTAATGTAGAAGTCACTCATTACTTTCACGCATTGCTTTTGTGTCTGAAATGAAGCATCTTTAAGCAAGAAAAAATCGATCTCACATTGCTTAGTTGCTTTTTTTTTTTTTTTTAAATATTTATTTATTTTAGTTCTCGGCGGACACAACATCTTTGTTTGTATGTGGTGCTGAGGATCGAACCTGGGCCGCATGCATGCCAGGCGAGCGCACTACCGCTTGAGCCACATCCCCAGCCCCATTAATTGCTTTTGTTTAGATAAACACTTCCTCAAATTTAAATGGATATCAATACTGATTATAGTGTGCCACAACATTTTGTATCTTCATTTAACCAGTAATTTGGTTTTGGTAGGGAAAGTGCTTTATAAGTATTATATTACTTTTTCTTTCATTAGGTTAGTGTACATTATTCAGTTATCATTTTGAAAATAAAATTGATATAATGGAAGAGTGACAGAAAAAAAATGCAGTTCAGTCACTAGGTCTAAAGGATTTATACTGTACTGAGAACTGAGTTTAGATTTTACAGAGAGGAGAGAAGAAGCAGGAGACATATTGCTATTTTAAGATAATTCTAGTCCCTAGAACTAGAACTGGTATGTATTCTGAAATCACGAAATGAACAACTTAAAGCTCTTTAAATGCTAGGTACTGTAGTACAGTTCAGAACAGTTGAAGAATTCAGAGAACAAGATGATATGAACTATACCTAGTCAAGTAGGAGGTGGCTCTTAAACATGAAGAGAGCCTTTGGATTACTGCTAGGTATGAAGGAAGGCAAACAAGGTAAGAAGATAGTAAACAGAGCTAGAGCCAGTGAACGGTTATAAATGGGGCTCAGTTTAGAACCTGTTTGATTTTGCTTTTAGGCTTTATATCCATTAGCACCCAGTTAACATTCTTTTTCCCATCTGACCATATTCTGAGAAGTATTATATTAATTTTTAAAACAACAAATACAGAGAAACAAAAATTGAAAACCTTACCTTCCTAAAGGGAGAGTAGTCTGAATATAGTGTAGGCACTTTCAGTTGCACATATTTTCAAGTAAAATAAGGAGACCCCTGTGAGCCTACCATTTGCTATTTGACCCTGGGCATCTTTAACATTCTTTCCATTACTTAGATATATGAAGTATATCTACTTCATAATTTTTGTTTTCAGTAAAAGATGTCATGTGTATAAACTTAGCATGGAGCCTGGTCTATAGAGTGACTGAATGAAAAATATTGCTTATAATTGAAAAAAATAATTTTATGTGATAAACTAAGGTGAACATTTAAAAATAATTTGTAGTAAAGAATATAGTTTATTTTGTGTATTTGGGCAGTTTTTTCAGTATAATTCTGTACAGTTCTCATTTTTTTTAAAATCCCTTTCTTCCTTTAGGAGACAAGGATGGCAGCAAGGTGACCACAGTGGTGGCAACTCCCGGGCAGGGTCCAGACAGGCCACAAGAAGTCAGCTATACAGACACTAAAGTGATCGGAAATGGGTCATTTGGTGTGGTATATCAAGCCAAACTTTGTGATTCAGGAGAACTGGTTGCCATCAAAAAAGTATTGCAGGACAAGAGATTTAAGGTAATACCTCTGATATTTCATATACTTTGTTGCTGTCTTAATACATTATATGATTATTGGTTAGATGTACCTTTTGCTTCAAATTTCATTTGTTCTGTTAATTTTTGTTCAACTCAACGAATATAGTAACTTATTTCTAGTTATGTATTTTAATAAAAATAAACTTTATTGAAGATTAATTCTTTTGTAACCACTGCTATGAAGAACATTATATATAGAAAATCCTGTGAAAGGGAAATTGCTTAGTTCAAAGGTCACTTTGAACTTCAAAAAAGTGACCTTTCCCTGCATTGTGCTTCATTGGTTTAAAGCATCCGAGAAACACTGGCTGTGGCATATGTGCATTTGATACAGCTGACTGTGCATTCCTTTCCTTATATTAAAGGAAAAATATCCTTTAATCTATGGTGAAACACCATTACATTTCCCCAATAACTCTTGTCTGTCTTTGCTGTCTTTTCGTTTCTTTTTCCTTCTGACCTTATAAACCAGAAATCCCCAAAGTTCAGTTCTTGTCCTTTATTTTTGTTTCTTAAACCAAATCCTGTGCATGGAAGCTTGTAAGTCATTTCTGTGTTGTGTTATAGTGGAAAGGATCAGGAGACCTGAGCTCCAAATAAGATCCTGCCATTAATGAGCTGTGCATCCTTTTTCTTTTCTCTGTTCTTCCCACTTTGCAATATTTTACTAAGAGCTTCCCATGTATTCAGAACTGTGCTAATCATTAAGGGTCATAAAAATAAATAAGAAGTGACCACTGTTCTGAAATAGTACAGTCTAGTGTCATTTTGTTCTGGAATGTCTAGAACATTCTAATGAGTTTTGTTTTGCTTTTTGATAATTCTAAAGTTTTTTTGTTTCCGGTTCTCACTTCTCCCAAGCACTAGTCTCTGTTGCTAACTGGCTGTTAGAATGTTTTACTATTATTTCAAATTGGCAATCTAACTCTGACTGACAGCTTTTATGACCTAGTAGAAAGCCTTCATCTTGGTTTCCAGACCTTTGGATTTGCTCTTTCCTTCTAATGGTTTCATCACTCACCTGTCATTTACTTTCCTACTAATACCCAGTCATTGTCAGACTTGGTCAATTTTCCTACCCCCGTTCCCATTCTCTTGTCAATATATTTCTTCTTCTTCTTTTTTTTCTCCATCAGTACTATTCTAGTCAGTCTTTCATTATTTGTCTTAATGACTAGTAAGATTCTATTCTGGTATTTTCCCTTCTAATCTTTCTACATACCAAAACTAGAATACTCCTGATATTCTGCTTGGTCATGTTATGCCTCCTTCATTGGTTCTTAACAGTCTAAAAAATAAAACTTACCTATTTCATTTGTACACTCAGAAGACAAAACATAGTCTTGCCTTTCCTTATGATACTCAGATTTCCATACTTTGATATCACTATCCTGAAATGTGTTGGTCTTTCTGGCTTCTCAGCTTTCATTCAGCTTCTGTATTAGTTTGTTTTCCACTGCTAAATAAAAGCCCTGAGATTGAGGAACTAAGACAGAAATAGATTTATTTAGTTCACCATTATGGAGATTGAAAAAATCTGAACAGCATGGTGGTGGCTTTGGTGAAGGTCCCCTTGGCTGCATCACTTTGTGCTAGATGACATCATTTCCAGAGTATGTATAATAAAGAGAGGTCACATGGTGACATAGGAAGCCAGAGAGCAACTCGGGGGTTAGATCTTTTCTTTTATAAAAACCCTCTAACTAGAACTCGCCAGGATCCCACAGAATTTAATCAGTTCCTTTCAAAGGGTGAACCTAATTAATTCCCACTATGCCTTACTTCTCCCCTACTCCTCCCAACACCATCATACTGAAGACTGAGCTCCCAGCACATGAATCCAGGGGTTTACAGTTAAACCATGATCAAACGATGGCAGCTTCCTTTCTTTTCTTTTTCTTTTTTTCTCTCCCTCCTTTCTTTCCCTTTTCCTTTCTCTATTCCCTCTTCCTTTCCCTCCCTCCCTTCTTCCTTCACTACTCTTTCTTCCTCCCTGCTTCCTTTCCATTGTTTTTCTTTCTTTTTTAGGGTCTCACTTTGTTGCCCAGGTTCTCTTTGCAGATTCTCCTTCTTCAGCCTTCTGAGTAGCTGGAACCACAAGTGCCTCCCACCATACTTCACCAAACCATGGCAGCTTCATTACTGTCATTCTCATTCTCCTATCTAAAAGCTGTGCATATATAAAGACACAGGTCAGATTATTATTCTATAAAATTTTCCAGATAATTCTATCCAGCCAAGTGGATCTTGTTATTGTAAATTCTTTTAGCTCTTATCCTCCACAAATGAAGAACTTCCATGTTTTCATGACAGTGTTTCCATATTTATTAGGTTTGTCTCCTGGATTCCCACACATTCAGATTATTTTTTTGGAATAGTATTAATGATGGTAGTAAATACCTGCAAATTTTTATTATATATTTTTTGTTTTCCATAAGTAGTTTTATTTAAAACTTATCATTAGTAATGTGAGTTTGTACTGTTATTATTTGGGTAAAGAAACCTAAATACACAGCGGGGATTGTGGCTCAGCGGTACAGTGCTCGTCTAGCACGTGTGAGGCTCTGAGTTCAATCCTCAGCACCACATAAAAATAAATAAATAAAATAAAGGTATTGTGTCCAACTACTTCTAAAATATA